CGCTCCAACTCCAACAGTCGCCATTGAAATGAATCCACACTCTGCAACAAATCCCACAACTCCTAAAACACCAAATGGAGTGGTTAGGTTCAGTTGTTCGATCGTTGAAACAGTGATGCCAACACCAAACCCGATGCTTGATGCTTAGTTCACAATCCACGACAAAAATAAATAAATAATGAATATATAAATAAGTAAACACTTCTAATTATCGATGGTGTTGGAATTTTCAGGATAGGTTAAGATCGATACACTTTCTCAAACATTGGACTTCAGGATCATCAAATTATTATCTTAGTGCATGATTTCTTCCCTTTCTAATTACTATTTTTTTTTTAGTTTTCGATGATGAGATACTTTTATAAACTTTCCTCTATCAATCGGTTATAAGTAAAAATATTAGTCTGAAACTTCAATTTCATAATACTTCTTATTTTATATTAATTAAACTTATTTAACTTTTAAACTTATATAAAAGCCTAATTTTTTAAACTATTATCTTTAGTTATGTTTATTAGAAATAGCGTTTAATTTAAGGACAGTTTTAAAATTATGATATTAAATTAAAGGAAATAGTTGATATTTATTTATATTTCTATCCACTAAATTTGTTTTTCTTTTGGTAAATTTGAACTCACAGAATAAACATTAATTTTAAATAATTATTACCGTCATTTTAATTATGGTATTCACACAAACTGAAACATTAATATATTTTTTAACCTGTAAGAAAATCTGTAATTTATACTAATTATGTTAGGGATCTGTAATCGGTAATAATAATCCAGAATCAAGTTAAATGTAGAATTTTAGAAAACTATATTAATAAATAGATATAGATAACTTTGGTTTGCATTGAATGATTATAAACGAGGGATTTATAATTTAATGAGAAATTATATTGATAGAAACTAGTACGATGAAAATTATTTTGTAGGTTACTTTTTATTTAATCAGATTATTGATGGTATAACATTAATTAATTTGTTATTTTGGATATTAATATTAAATTAACATGCTCATAATCTTTTCAGTTAAGGAAGATAATCATAATCTAAGTCTAATTTTTGACAAAATTGGAATTTAAATTTTATATTAATTACATGTAGAGGCTTAAAAGGGAAAGGTTGGTTGTTTATTTTGATCTACCTAAAATTCAGCTCATGTTTGCAAATAGCTTTATATATACGTGTAAATATTTAAAACAAAATATTTTATAAATTTTTAAAATAAAATTAAAATAAAATTATAAAAATAATATATAAAATATAATATAAATTAACATTTAATTTTAATTAAATTAAATTTAATAAAATATAAATTAATTTTAAATTTAATTATATTTAACTTAATAAAATATAAATTAAAATTTAACTTTTTTATGAATAATAGATATTTGTGAATACAAATAATATAATATTATATTTGTTTATAAACCAATATTAAAATATTATAAAGATATTTTTGTCCTACCGGTAAAACTTGATTTTTGAAATTCTAATATTGTTTTCTAAATATAGATATACATATCATATTTCAAAATTTGTATGTAACATTCCATTAATTTACATTGACAGTTTCTCTTCAAACAACATTAATAATTAAATGATCAAACACAAACATACCATTTAAAATTATAATAAGTTTGACATATTCAACAATCTTAGATCAATTGTCACCATTTCGCATTCTATAATCCATTTTCATAATTTGATGAGTTTAGATTTGAAGATATGCTGGAGGAATCCGGAAAAATGTGAGCACTTGGGTAAGCAGTTTTTTCATGAATTAGTGGATCAGAGACCAAATAGGCATCAGTAACTCCAAAAGTTTCATGTCTTTCTCTATAAGATGCCCAAGTAACTGCATAGAGACCAGCAACGATTGAAAATCACCCTATGATGCTATCATCACACATGGATCAAAAAATCAAAGCTTCTAAATACAATGTATGTATTCTTTATTATACTCTCTTTTTTTTTTTAAGTTTTACCCTTTACAATTGATGAGTAGGTTTGTTGTGAGATGAAGTTAGAAAAGAATGCATGAAATATGTTGAGGTGGAAGGAGAGCTATACCTTCCCATGTAAATTGGCGTGCCAAGGAAAATTTGGGAAAGGAAGGCAGAAAATGCAGGTTGAAGAGGATTAAAGGGAAACAAAAGCTGGCCCCAAGATCTTAATGCTCCATGAAATGATTCCATAGCTAAGAGCAGATGTAATAGTTCCCTGAACAAATTTGTGAAATCTACATGTTAATAAACCACCAAATAATCCATTAGAAGCTGAATCAATTAAAAACTATGTAGGAACTTCTTTTCATCGCTTAAAATATAAACCCTTCATTGCTCAACTTCAGTAGTTTATATACAGTGTCATGTTACTTAATTACAACTTTTATGAACACATTGTGATCTTAGTGTAAGATTCTAGAATATTTAATTCAGTAGAATTAGTAAATGATAAGGCAGATGCAGACAAATATGCATTACGATTAAGAGACGTGATGAGGTTTGAGTGGAAAGAGTTTTATTTTGGCCAGTTTTTTTTCACAACAATGTATTTGGGAGATTTGAATTGAATTTATAATTGGATTATTTGATGGATTACATTTTGGAATTTGGGTTTGCTTTTTGAGATTAAATAAAAGATCTTGAAATTTACAAATTTTACTAAGTATCTTAGTAGCATATGACTTAGAGTGTTTGATAGGATATAAAGTGGTAGGATATAATGGGTTTAGGATAGAAGGAAGAGAAAATGAGAGGACAGTTAGGAGGGAAGATTTGACAGTTAATTAGTTAGTGGGAAGGGGAAGAGAGACTTTATAAATAAGGTGTGTGTTTTGTATAGGAGGATTATTCATTTGGGTATAGACTGGATATTTGTTCCAGTGGAGGGATAATTTGGCTCCCTAAGAGGTGTGGATGTATTGTATAGTTGAGAGGAATACAATACATATTCTTTCTTTGTTACTTTGTGTTCTTGCTTGAGTGTGTGCATGTGGCGTTTTCTACAGGTTTCATACCAAGAAACCTAATAAATTGGTCCAACCTGCCAGATACCCTTAGTAGAGGACGGCTGGATCAAAGGTTGTGGATCAAGAAGTGATCAAGAAAGGGTGGAGGCATGGAAGGAAGAGACAATACCTTGGAGAGGAGGACCAACGAACAAAAAATGAGTAGGACATAACCAAAAATGAGCATGGCAGAATGAAGAAGAAATATGCAAGAAATGCGGCAAGAAACCAGAGAACTCTTGCGAGTTCTTGGAGGAAGAGTGTGGAACCAAGAAAAAGGATTAGAAGCAGTCCAAGGTCTGTAGATGGAGATCAAGATTATGTTAACAGAGGAAAAATAGAAAGGAGAGAGGAGTTTCTTCAAGATGTCTTGAAAGGAAAGAAAGAAGGAAAGATAAGGATGAAGGTTGGGCAAGATAGTCTGCTAGACATCAAGAAATTCAAGAAACCTTCAGATGGAGGGGAAAATTCAAACAATTGGGAGAAGGAAAGGGAAAGAGATATCGTTGAAGAAGACAAAAACTGTGATGGAGACATTGTTGGTGTTGTTGCCTAAGGAGTGAAAAAAGTTGTTGTTTTTAGGGCAGATAGTAGGGTAGGTTGTGGTGTACATGTCAAAACAATGAAGGAAGATGAAGACAGAGGAAAGAAAGCAGAATATGGTGGGAACATGGTGACTATTATGGCTGGAAATAAAGTAGAAGATGCAATTGTTTGGAGTAGGGAAAAATTCATCCAAGAATTCAAGATATGGTTGTCATAAACATATAAAACACCAGAAGACCAATGGCAGGGGTATTTCTTTGCAGGACTGCAATACAACATTCAGAGGAAACAGTTTGCTCAACATGATGATGATGAAGAAATTGGATGGTCAGATCAACAAGTTTTTTCGTTTTTAGCTTCTAGGATGAACAAATCTGGACAATGAGAGGGCTTAGCCAGTGCTGCTGCTATAAAAATACAAAAAAAGTTTTGGGGTTGGAAGAAGAGAAAAGAATTCTTGATCATTCATCAGAAAATTGTTAAAATCTAGGCCCATGTAAGTGGTCACCAGGCCAGAAGGCAGTATAGAACAATCATATGGTCCATGGGAATTATGGAACAGAAGCAACTCTTAAAGAAGTCAACAATTCTTTCATATAGACCACCACCCAAGCCTCCAAACCTGAATTAGGGGGTAATAGCTAGTGGGTTTCCTTCATATAATAACACGATGATGAAGAGGAGCCATGAGATCAAGCTTCCCGATTCCAACCTTGAGGACAAGGTTGTTCTGCAGCGGAGTGTAATGATAGGATATAGGGTGATAAGATATAATAAATTTAAGATAGAAGGAAGAGGAAATCAAAGGACACTTAGGAAGGAAGAGTTGTTTAACAAAAAAATATTTAAAAATAAATAAAAATTTGGCAAATTTTTCACCTATTAATTTGAATATATTGCAGTATAATTTGGAAATAGTAATATAAACATTTTCAATAATATAATAGTTAAAATAAAATATATAATACGAAGTATCTAAACATAAATAATAATAATAATAATATTGGTGATAATATACTTAATTTTTTATTTTTAATATCTTATTAACCTTTGAATTTTACGTAGTTTTTATTTTGTTTTAATTGTAGTTTTCGCACCTCGTTCCTATTCTCAAGAGGCAAGTCTCTGAAAAAAAAACCATAGTCGATCTCAAATTGTTTGAAAAAGTTTCAACATGCAAGACAAAAACATTCATATCCAGTAACAAAGTCATTTCAATAAGTGACAACAGAAAATAAAATAAAAATAGAGTAAAATTCACTAATGCTTATTTTTCTATATTTTTTTCATTAAAATATCTGTATTTTCTTTTACTTTGTATTTTTTTAGTCAAACATGAGCTTTTAATTTTTGTTTGATTTCTTATTTACTTCTGTTCATCTTATATACTTTCAACTCTTTCTCACCTTTCTAAATGAATGGCTAATTAAAGCCAATGAAACAGAACAAAACATTCAATTACTTTTACACTGCAATGAAGAGTTATCTCAGAATTGTTGACAGTTAAATTGAACAGGATATCAAAATTGTAAATATCATAATACACTTCACATTCCCAGTTTGTCCTCAAACAACATTTTACATTTATAATATAAAATACAAGCATACCATTTAAACAGATTTCAAAAACAAATTCAAGAATCATGAGAAAACTTTTCAAAACGCATTGCTATTGAATAACGAATCTGATGAGCTTGGCTTTGATGTTTACGCTGGAGGACCCTGAGTGTGATCATTCTGGTATTCACTTTTTTCATGAAGAAGTGGTTCAGAGATCCAAGAGCCATTAGGAGTAACTCCATAAGTTTCTTGTCTTTCTCTATAAGATGCCCAAGTAACTAAATATAGACCAGCAATGATGAAAGATCCCCCTAGGATGCTATCATCACATGGATTAAAAAACAAGAACAAGAAGAAAAGTAAGCTCCTAAAAAAAGAAAAACTTTTCTGCAGTTAGTGTGTCTGTATTGTATGTATTCTTTATACTCTTGTTTTTTAAGTTTTACCCTTTACAATTGACGAGTAGGTTTATTGTGAGATGGTGAAGTTAGAAAAGAATGCATGAAATATGTTGAAGTGGAAGGAGAGCTATACCTTCCCAGGTAAATTGGAGTGCCAAGGAAAATTTGTGAAAGGAAGGCAGAAAATGCAGGTTGAAGAGGATTGTAAAGGGAAACCAAAGCTGGCCCCAAGATCTTAGTGCTCCATGAAATGATTCCGTAGTTAAGAGCAGATGCAATAGTTCCCTGAACAAATTTGTCAAATCTACATGTTAATAAACCACCAAATAATCCATTGGAAGGTGAATCAATTAAAAACTATGTAGGAACTTTTTCATCCCTTAAAATAGAAACCCTTCGTTGCTCAACTTCAGTAGTTTATATCCAGTGTCATGTTACTTAATTACAACTTTCATGAACACATTGATGTGATTTAGTGTAAGAGCCTAGATTATTTAATTCAGTAGAATTAGTAAATGATAAGGCAGATGCAGACAAATATGCGTTACGATTAAGAGACGTGCTGAGGTTTTAGTGAAAAGAGTTTTATTTTGGGCAGCTTTTCTTTCAGAGTAATGTATTAGGGAGATTTGAATTGAATTTATAATTTGATGGATTACATTTTGGATTTTGGGTTTGCTTTTTGAGATAAAAGATCTTGAAATTTACAAATTTTACTTAGTAGCATCCCAGTCGGAGTGTTACACTTAGACTTCTGTGCTAGAACTCAAGTCATATTTGCCCTGCATTTAACAACCATGCTCCACCAGCTAGAACAAATTTTTTAACACGAACATCACAGCAAAATATCCTATTCTCACCTCTAAATTATTGATACTACCATGTAGAAGCAGTGTTGTGGCTGTTGCCTATCTGTGTAGTTCATATAGATGGAAAAGGATCACACTAGTTCTTCAATTCAAATTTTCAAATTAAACTATTAAAATTGGATTATTTTTTCAAAACTAAATACCCTCCCCCCTCAAGAGTATGTTGCAGAATTTGGGTGGCGGAGAATCCACATGTCATTGTCTGACTCAAGAATTTCATGATAGAATCATGAAGAACTTGATCTAATTTTTCTCCTCTTTATTTTAGACTGCTAGACATGAAAGTGGCTATATAATTATTAGCAATACAGAACTAAAGTTAGCAGAAGCAAAACAGAAATCTGTTAGTGATGTGTCATGTTATGAGAACGAAAATACATTTAAAATTCCAGTGACTCACAGCATATGCAACAGCCAGTATCTCTGATTGTGTCAAAATCCAGTCAGTTGACTCGTTAACCATGAAAAATGAAGCAATCACCAACAGTGCAACTCCAAAGGCGAATGAATATGCTGTGACAGATAGATTTGATGGATACTTTTTCAATAATGGTGCCTGAAAATAATTAATGGCAAGAACTTAAACGGGCGAACACTCTCACAATTAAAATAACCAAATCTCATAATAAATCAGCTCACACAAACTACGTGATGTTAAAGATTGGTGTTTGTCACAATAAGTAAATTCATCTGATAGAAAGTACAAAGTTATTGGTTTAATGCAAAGAACTGAAAGAAACATGTGACAGCGTTGTGATGTGGTCAAAAATCAAAGTGTGATTTATTTAGAGTGTATTCCAAATGGAGGGAAATTGGAGAAAAAGTAAGAGTTTGCTTTAAAGGGCTTTGCTTTCAGGATGAATAAATCAATATACTGCAACATATATGACCTCATCCCATTTCCCTTCTAATTTGGGATACCTGAACACCTCAGAAGACTCAATGAGAAACCTTGTAAAGAACAACTTGATGGATGTCATCAACATTGGTGTGGAAAGGAGAATTCAAAGCAATAATAAACAGAAGCAGGAGCATGGTAATTTGATAATAGAGGAAGAAATGAACAGATATAATCAGCAGTCATCTAGTGGACTTTTATTTTAGTAGGTCTCCTTTGATGAATATAAACAAAAGAATACCTGAAGGGCTAGATAAGCAGCCATGCATATGCAGTTCCCTATCAAGAACACAACCCCAAGCTGAAAGTTATCTAATCCAATATCAAGATAACTGTTGATTAACCATACTGAAGGCTCTGGCTGGCCTCTGCCACTTGGTTTAATTTGCGTAACTTGGTTCGTTTCGTTATCCCCTATCACAGCTGGACCACGATAAAAAACCATAAATATGGCTCCTGAAACACATAAAAGAGTTCCTCCAGCCTTTGCCCAACCTTCATATGTGAGCAAGTTCAGTTTTTCTATTCTGCAAGATTGAATTTGCTAAGCACACATTATTTTGTGTTCAGGTCTGTGTGAACATTTTCATGAATGTACAAATTTCTTTACTAACAATATGATTGTGCATTTCTTTCTCTTTACTAGAAAAGAAAAAGGGAATCAATGATCAATAAATAAATTTTATATTTTAATATAGACATTTGAATACTAAGAAGAAATGGATAAGAGTGAAACTGACCCCATCATCAAAGTAAACAAAAATGTGAAGACTGGAATGGTTGGCTGTACAGCAGCAGCATAAGTTGGATTAGTATAACTTAAACCAATAAGAAACAAAAGCTGGTTGCCAAATACCCTGATGATGAATCATGGAGAAAAAATAAATATTATGGTGCAATAAAATACTATACCAAAATAAGAAATAAGTGAATATAGCAAGAATTCTTACCCAGTCAATCCAAGAATGAAGAAGGACATCAGTAGCTTCTTGGTAAGGGGTGGTCTAGTTCTTCTACAGCCAATATGGTAAAAATGTACAATTAGGATACTCACCTATCAGAAATAAAGAAATACTAACTCACAAGAGAGCACAAAAAATGTTTCAGGTTAAATTTCCATTTCTAAAGTTTGACTGTGTATCCAGTTAAATGCACAAAAAACAGGTCATCATCATAAGACGGGTCCCTGGAACCATTATCAGTAGACAAGTATAAGTAGAACATTTCTACAATTATTGGATGATGATTATGAACCTCAAACAAGTCTAAGCCAATTGGCACACTTAAATACCAAGAATAATCTAAATTACAAGAAAGAAAAAGGTATCAGTATTCTACAGAGTATATTTTCATAAAATTAGTATCATCAACCAACTATCACAGGTGTGTTTGGGAGCTTGCTTTAGACAAACAGGAGTTCACACTTTCCAAAGCATGAAATTAGGGAGTGTCATTTGGTAGAATTCCAAATATGAATCTAAGTGCCACATTGAGTAAAAATAAGCATCTTATAAAGTTAAAAACTCATCAACTATTTTAGACAGAGTGTGAGGTCAATTTCTTACTTGATCAGCCTTAAATCTCTTTAAAATTGACATTAAAAGTTAATTTTACCCATTTTAACCTTTAACCATATATATATATATATATATATATATATATATATATATATATATATATATGTACACAAACGTCTCTAGCATCCGATGAAAACTTGAGAATGGTTTTATGATACTTATTTCTGCTGAAATTTAAGAATTAATTAGAAAAATGAGGGATGCAAGATTTTACCCTACACCATTTGGTCATAATTGCTCCAATAAGTATTCATGAACCAACTTTTTCCGAAAGCTCAGCCCTTTAGAGAAAAACACACAATACATCTTTAACAATTAGAAACATGCTACTGCCCAAATTAGCATATGCTCAGTAAATGGTACCAATCGCATATACTTTTCTAACTACGAATAAGAAGAAAACCACAGCCCCACATGAACGAAGCTACAAAGGTGTTTAAGGCTCAATTTCACATGATCCAACCCTATAAAGAATTGTAAAAAATTATCCAAATTTCTATCAATCAGTAAAAGTTGAGGCAAGATGCCAACGAAAACGTTAACAAATCAGAAAATGTCGAACACTGTTTCTCCGAATACTTTCCATAAGAAAATCAATTTATTTTGAGATTGTGGAGAAAAGTTTTACACTCTCTCATAGCATGCCAATTAGATTCTTTATCTTCCAATAGAACCTAATCAGTAACAGTTGAAGGAGAAGGGGGAAAAAAGCATGCCTTTCAAGAAAAAAAGCGAGAGGAGCAAGAATAGTGAAGGCAAGGAGATCCCTGTAGAAGCAGAAAACTAGTTGGTTGACCCCAACATTAAGGGCCACTTTTGTGATTACATGGTAGCCACCATAGAATGCCTGTGACAGTGTCATGCCCATATGAGCTTTCCACGATCTACTCCTCACTGATACAACTCCCATTGATTCTAAACCTTCTGCCATTACAGTATCTCAAATGGGGTGGTTGGATGTCTCCTTGAAAACGTGAGCAGAGAATGGAAGAACACCAAATTTTATGCTTTATTCCGGCTTCGAAAACAATCTCCCAAGAACAAAGAAAAAGTAGCAATCTTTAGGCTAAGCAGGGCTGAATGGTGGTTTTGATTTGATCAATTTTCTGGATTTGCGAGAGTACTACAAGTCTTATCCTAATCAATGTCGTGGATCCTACGTGTATAATTGTAATCCATTATCAGTAATCTCTGTACCATCTGACAACTCATATATAAAGTAATGCTCTGTTACTTTATTTTAAGGAATATGAATACCTAGTACAATTTGCGAATAGATACTTTACACTAATAAACAACCTAATCACAATGTTTTATTAAGAATGCTAAAAGATAATGTTATCCTAAACCAAAAACATCTGAAGTGGAAGTAGACGAATATAAAACAATATCTGCAGGTTCCTCACTCATAAAAGAATCTTATTTTAATTACAGAAAACTTGTAAATTCAACCATATTTTACTAATGGATACTTTAAGAATATTCTTTTATAACATTTTAATATTATTTATATTTCATTTTATAATTGATTCAAAATTATTTTACCATCAATAATAATAATCATAAATATTAACATAAATCAATTACAGAATAACACCTAAATGATGTTAAAATATTATAAAAAAATATTGTAAAAATATTATTATTCTTTATTAATTTAATCTGCCGTTGGATTTATCAGCTTTTAGCAGCCAAAAGTCGTTGGGAGGATAAAAAGTCAAAAAAATAAAATGGTGTTATTCAGCAGACACAGATGTGATGTGTTTTGAGTATCTTTAAATAAATAATTGATTTTATTTTATTATTTAAACAAATATCAATAAACAATTAATGATATGACAAGACGTGTAAGTTCTAAGTTATTTTCCAACAACTCCGAGGATCCTTATCGTATGATGTGGGGACGTGTAAGAAGTACGGGAAAGTATATAGTGTTTTCTTAGAACATAGCACATGTAACATGCAAACCTAATATATATTCAATAATAGTTTTCTATATATAAAAAGGAAAATGATACTTGAACAACCATTTTTGACAACATTTAGACACGCGCATACGTGTCAAAATCTGAGTGGTCCATTTTCATTTAATTTTTTTAACTGGACCACTCAGATTTTGACACGTGTGCGCGTGTCTAAATGTTGTCAAAAATGGTTGTTCAAGTGTCATTTTCCATATAAAAAAGTCTTTTTCAATAAAAATACTGTTTTATTTTGAATTTTAAAATATTCTTATATAAATATTGTTTTTTAGTTTTAGAAGATTCATATTTATAAACTATATTAAAGCAATTTTTATCGATATTAGTTTTGCCAAAAACTTTCGTTGAAAATGTTCTAATACACAAGATCAAAAAAAAAAAAGAAATTGAAATTTATAGAAAGCAACATAATGAGGTTAAAAATAAAATATAAATTAAAGAGAATAATATATAGATATATATACAACCTATATTTATCTATTACTAATTAAATGAAAAATATAATTTAAAATTGTTTGATATGAGAGAAGTATTTTATCAAAATTAAGAAGAGTTATATAAAATTAAATAAATGCATATATTGAAGTGGAAACAAGGCTATTTTATTCTTTAAAAAAACACCTCTTTCGTTCGCAATTATTTTATTTCTGAACTAATAGAGTTCAACAACAAATCTTGAACTTTAGTTTTACGTTTTCTTACTTTATTGGAAAAAAAGAATGCAAGAAAAAATTATGTATTAATTTGTAGTCCAAAGAAAAAGCAAAGAAATTTACAATTATTGGAAAAAAGAATGAAAGAAAAAATAATGTATTATTGCCAAATTTTTCAATGGAATCTTTATTATGAAATTAGGAGAAGATACTTTAAAAAGTAGTTTATGTGATCATTAAAATTACACTAAATGATGAATTTGTCTCACCTGGCAATGTGCCAAAAAAAAATCTTTATCAGCTACTATTCACATTATTTACTTAAATAGCATCTATGTCACCATATTTATTCAAATTTCATGATTTTCAATTTTTTTTAAAAAATTCTGTTTGATAAAAAATTATATAAATTAAGAAGTATTTTTATTATTTATAAAATTTATTTGTCTATTTTACTCTTATTAATTTTTCTCTTTTTAATTTAAATTTATCAATTATTCTTAGTATCTTAGTAAATAATATTAATGGTTTTAATGTTCTTTACAAAATTATTTCGAGGTCAAAAAATTAATTATTAGTACATTCAATAACTATATGTATATTTATGCTGTTAACTTAAATTATAACTTACATTTTTTTATCGATAAACATTTTTTTCACGTTGGACAACTTAAAATGTTATTATTTTTAATCATATTATTTGTACATACTATCACACTTAAAAAAGATATTTTTAATTCATCTTACGAGCAATCACATCACAACTTAATTAAATACGTTATACCATTAAGTATTTACGAATAGTTTAACATTGATAATTTTAATTATTATATTGTTTATTTTTCATTTTAAAGATTGTATTCTTTTTTTTCCTTTTAATATATTTTTTTACCAATTTACTTTCAATGAAATAAATTTTGCAAATGCCAATAGCGTGAGAACTCAGAAAATTAGTTTAAGAGCAAAAAAAAGGAAAAAAATTATGTTTAAAAGTTTAAGTTGTAAAAAATTATAAAAGTATGGAGTTTTTATTTCTTAAATTATTTATTTACTTTTCATCTTTTTTTGAAGATCAAAGACAGTAAAATGTTTTTTTAAGAGTAGTATGAAAGTCCCTCATCAATTTTTTTATTTGTGTAAGTCGATTTTTTTCTTCTTTTAAGTTTCAATATGATTTGTGAATATATACAACTTTTCTTGGTTGCATGTAGTGTTTTTATGTCCAACTGAATTTTTATGGTTTTATAAGTTGAATGATATAATCAAATAATCAAATAGATGTTTTTTGGTGTAGATAGATGACCTTTTGAGTGGTGGATTGTGTAAGGTGTACTATAATGATTATAAAAGGTTATCAAACAAGTGAGAGAAGTTAATCACTTAAATTGTTTTAAATTAACCGTTTATAATCTACAAAATATTTAAATTGTTTGGGAGTCTAATTGAATGGAACTTTGTGGTTTTTATGCTCTATATTGTTTTTGGTACGGACAGGTTTTAGTTTTGTGTATTGAATGGTGCTAAAACATTTGAACTATTAGCTTGTAAGAAATTGCTAAATATAATTTATGTAATGTGTTTTGAGAACATGTTAAGGTATAATTGTAATGGTATTGAGAGAGTTGGAGTATTGGGCTAGAATTGATTATAGAAAGATATAGATAGACTAATTCTAATGAAAGTTATTTTTCTTGTAAATTTAATGTGTTGTTGTTGAAAGGTAAAATTGGTGGTATGATTACAGTGATAGAGTGTTGCTGAAGATGACAATTCCTTATGATAATTATAAGTTAAAAAATAGTGTTAGTAATTATGATATTTTTCTTTTGTATAGAGAAAATTAAGAAATTTGAGAGGAAGAAAACTTGGTATGTAATGTAAAATTATCAAGTGTAGGTGAAATTATTGGATTAGATGGGTTTAATTGTGGTTAATATTGTTAATATGAAAGTGGTAATTGAAGAGTTGGCTTAGTAAAAACTCTTATGAATGAGTGTGATTTATGTGATTATATGACTAAGTGACTTCTTTGGATAATGTTTGATTGAGTATTTCTAATGTAGTAAGGTGATTGTACTTATGACCCTTATAATTAAGGTTAATATTTGAGAAATTTGAAGCATGGAAAAATTTAATTAAAACTTGGCTAGTATCTAGACCTATTTGATTGACGAAATATGTGTTTTATGACTTGAGAAATCGTGGTTGATGGTTAGATGGAGATGAAAATTATCTAAAATTGGATGAAAATGTCTTACATTGCACTTAAAGTAGTTTTTGTTGCAGTTGGGTGACAATTATATGGCGTCAGGCAGCAACTCTATGTAACCTTTTCTAGTAAAACTAGTTTGTTTAGGACATTAGTTCTGAATGTTGGAACATGATTGGAGGATTTGGAAGCAAGCATAACATGTAGAGTTTCACAAGTCCATTCAGTACACTAGTCTTGTAGAAGTAGTGTTTATATGTGTTCCTTTTGTTTGAGTCATGTTACAAAAATGTGATTGATGTTCTCGAATAGAGCCATGTGGGTTGATGTTGGATAGTTGTTTTTAATGAATATATGAACCACTTGAGTGTTTTACTAGATTTTTATAGAAATTGTTCCATGGTTGAGTGATTGAGTAATGTTGATGGAAAAAAAAGGAGAAAAACTGTGTAGGTATCTAACAAAACTAAATTTCGTACAAAATGTTATGATATAAATTTTAAATTATTTGTGAGATTTATTTCTTTCATACATTTTTAAATGCATTAGCTTACCCTCGTGTTTTTTTCCCTGTGTTGCTTGTTTTTTTTAATGTGATGATTGTATATTAATATCTTAACATAAATAAAAATAAATAGGGTTAATGACTAAAGAGTTGAAGCTCATAACTTAAGATAATGATAGTTTAGAAGATGAAGTCTTTATATTTTTTTGGAAAATTGTATCGAAACTATTTAGCATATTTTGAAACTTAAAGTTTTTGAGTTCATAGTGTAGGTTATTAGAACTAGACCAAAATTTATAACATAAAAATATATTTTTAATTTTTATTGTCAATTTAATAACTTAGTAATTGTGTATATATTTAAAAATGTTAAATTTAAGCTATAATTATTATCTAAGTATATCTTAAAACCTAGCTCAGGAAATCTAAATCCATTACAAGAATTAATTATTGCAAAAAAAATATATTACAATAAATTGAATTTTACATAATTGAGTTAATAAATATTTTGCATAGTTATCTATTTTACATAATTTAATTTGCATAATTGAGTTAATAAATATATTACAATAAATTTAATTTTACACAATTGACCAAAATTCAATAAAAAGAATAATAAGATGTTATTATATATAGTTATCTAACCATAACTATAACAGCAAAATATATATACAAGGATTCATATACTACTAAAAGTTATATTACACTAAAACTAAAAATGCAATACTAGAGTTTACAAAAACATAATTATCGTCCTACTTTATGCTTCATGTTACCTCACCATCTTGAACTTGGTCAACATAAACATCCTCATTTGCTCATACCATTAAAATAATCATA